GGTCAAGGACATGTACCTTGGTTGCGGGCACATCCCCAGTAGGAGGTGTGCAGGAGGCAGCTGATCGATGTTTCTCTCTCATCGATGTTTCTAACTCTCTATCCTTCTCCCTTTCTCTCTGTAAAAAATCAATAAAATATATTTTTAAAAAAACAAAAAACAAAAAAACAATGAATGGCTTAACAATGAGATCAAGGAAGAAATCAAAAGATACCTGAGACAAATAAAAATGAACACACAACAACCTCAAATCTATGAGACACAGCAAAAGCTGTCCTAAGAGGGAAATTCATACCATTACAGGCCTACCTCAAGAAACAAGAAAAATCTCAAGTAAACAATCTGATTGTACACCTAAAGGAACTAGGAAAAACAACAACAAATAAACGATGAACAAAGCCCAAAGTGATGAGGAGAAAAAAGGAAATAATAAAGATCAGAGTGGAAATAAACAAAGTCTAAAAAAAAATACAAAAGATCAATGAAACCAAGAGCTGGTTCTTTAAAAAGCAAAACAATATTGATAAACCTTTAACATGACTCATCAAGGAAAAAGAGAGAGGATCCAAATAAGTAAAGTCAGAAGTGAGAGAGGAGAAGTAACAACTGACACCACAGAAATACAAAGGATTATAAGCAAGTACTACAAACCATTATATGCCAACAAACTGGACAATCTGGAAGAAATGGATAAATTCCTAGAAATATACAATCTTCCAAGACTAAATCAGGAAGACACAGAAAATCTGAACAAACCATTTAGAATAAACAAAATTGATGCAGAAAACAAAAACAAAAATAAAACTCCCGACAAACAGATACCTGGACTGGATGGCTTCACAGGTGAATTTTACCAAACATTCAATGAACTAACACTTATTCTCAATCTCTTCCAGAAATTCCAGATGAGGGAATACTCCCAAGCTCATTTTATGAGGCCAGCATTATCTTAATTCCACAACCAGATAAAGACACCACAAAGAAAATAGGCCACTATCTCTGATGAACATAAATGCAAAAATCCTCCACAAAATACTAGCAAACTGAATTCAGCAATACATTAAAAATACACCCTGATCAAGGGGGATTTATTACTGGGATGCAAGGTTGGTACAATATCCGCAAATCAATTAGTATGATACACCGCATAAACAAATCAAAGGATAGAAATCATACAATCATATCAATAGACACAGAAAAAGCATTTGATAAAACCCAGTACCCAGTTATGATAAAAACTCTCAGCTAAGTGGGAATAGAGGGAACATACCTCAACATAATAAAGGCCATAGAATGGCAAACCCATGGCGAACATCATTTCAAGTACAGCATAGGAAATATGGTCAGTAATATTGCAATAACTGTGGATGGTGCCAGGTGGGTACTGGAAATATCGAGGGGATCACTTTGTAAAGTATATCATTGTCTAACCACTATGATGTACGCCTGGAACTAAAACAAGATAGTACTGAATGTAAACTATAATTGAAAACTGAATTTTAAAAAATTAAATAAAAAATATGTTTGCTGTACGATTAGATGCTATGCACTCTTCCACACGTGGGCTAATTAGCTATTGTCATCTGAGTGTGTGTGAGCCATTAGCTTTTTACCACCAAACCTATAGTCATTGGTTTTAGGTTGTGTGCCTTGTCCATACCCTGTATTGCCTCTTGTTAGTAGAATCTTTGTGCCCTGAAACATGTCTGGTGAGTCATGTAAACTGAAATTAAAATCCCGTGTCTATCCCAAAAACTGCTAAAAACTAAAACAGAACACAAAACAAGGACCAGGGAGTGAGTCCACATTGTCAAAGTCTGAAGACTTAGCAGAACATCATTTTGAGGTTAAAGAGGTGTAAGACCTTAGAGAAATGTGTCTGAGCTTGTCCTTTAGCAAAGTGGTGTGCTGTCTGCTTCTGAGTCAGAGGCTGCGGCTGGCAGGCCTGCAGGAATGCTTCAGGCTCCACCCAGCCCTTTGGGATGGGGGCCCTTAAACAGCCCAAAAGCTCTCCAGTGCCCTCTTCTGGTAAAACGAGGGGGTGCATGCTTCCAAGAGAGCTGGTTTTCCATGCACTCACCATTCATAGTATTTGTTTCAAAGTTAACGTCAAAATGTTAAGGAAGAGGAAAAGATGAGTGTTCTAAGAAAGAAAAACTAAAGTATTTGGGAATAAATTGCTGATTTGAGTGTTTATTAATATTTATTTTGTTCAACTGAGAAAACCAGAGGGGAAAACAAACACAACTACATTTCACAGCTTATGTTAGCACCTCTACCAATAAAAATAAAACGGTAAAACAATATAACGATAATAATAAGATATAACAATAAAAACCAAATCTCCACCATACAAAACTTCTAGTATCCCCAAATCCCCAGATGCACTCATTTAGTGTTTTTTTTGACCAATGTGAGCCTTATTTAAATGCTTATCATGTAGGGAAATACGAAAATAATGTTAGTAGTATTAAGGAGTACTCCGTATTTATCTGTGTTCCTTATATCTGAACTGCCCTTTGGGAATGACTGCTTGATGGAAAAAACTTTCCTTCCCTTGCAGCTGTCAAAGACTAAGATTTTCCTCTCTACCTCCTTTAGTTCTTTACTCAAATGTCACCTACCCTCCCTACTCTGTATAAAAATTATATCCCCAGCCGCCCTCCAAAACTCTTCCATCCCTACTCACCCCTCTCCATATTTTTATCATTTTCCTTAGCACTTACCACCATCTAATGTGCTATAAATTTTACTTTTTCAAATTAAGGTGTAATTCATATAGCATACAATTCACCCATTTACAGCATACGGTTCAATGGTTTTTAGTTTATTCTCAGAATTGTACAACCATCACTACAATCAATTGTAGTACACTCTCATCACCCCAGAAAGACCTCCTGGGCCCATTAGTAGTCAGTCTCCATTTCCCCTCAAAACATTTTCCTAGGCAACCACTAATCTGCTTCCTGTCTCTTTAGATTTGACAGTTTTGGACATTTCATGTAAATGAAATAACATGTTATGTGGGCTTCTGTGACTGATTTCATTAATTTGGCATGTTTTCAAGTTTCTTCCATGTTGTAGCATGTATCAGTACTTCATGGTCCTTACTAAACACAATAAGCTATTGACCATCGGCACCCTTCACTAGGATTCTGAAGACAGGAATTTTGTCTTTTATTTTTATAACTTTGATATCTATGGATTGCCCAGCACATAGCAGGTTCCTAACAATTGTTTGCTTTGGGAGGCAGGGGATGGGAGGGGAGTTGTTTTTGAACTTTCCACTAGGACAAGTGGTATCTATTATTCTGAACCTAAAAATAAAAACCCCACCACAATTTATTTAAAAAAGAAACATTTTGGAGAAATGCTAGAGTAATAGATTTTACTTTGGGTGAGTGAAATATACAGTTAGGTATCATTTTAAACAAAATCCAGAACTCCTGACAAGAGGAAAAACCTTTAGAGTCAAAACATGATGAATGTTGTAATTATTCCCTGAACTCTTGTAACACAATAGTAATACTAATATTTTCCTAAAAATAAACTCCAAATTTAACACAGTGTCCTTCCAAATGAGAGGAGGAAGGCAGGTGTTTTCCCAAGGCTGTGGGAACTGTGGGCCCCAGGGCAAGGCTTCCCAGCTAGACAGTAAACAAAAGTTATTCCAATTGGCTCAATGTGAGAATAAAATAACAGAAATCAGTGGTCTCTGTTTTTCTCCAAAATATATTATCTTAAGAAGACTTTTATTGTGAAAGTGTTCATGGTTTGCACACATTAAATCACTCTTTAGCTGGAAATTTGCCTCCCTTTTCACAGTTACATAATATAATCTTTTGTGTGTGTGAGAATTTTGAGCAGCACAACAGACACATGAAAATAGACTAACCTATCCTTGGCAGAAAGGGGCCGCCTTGTTTAAAATGTAAAGAAACATTTGTTTTGGGAACCATGTGAATCAGTTGGGGAAACTCTAGGTCGCTGGATTTGTCCCTAGGGTTTCCTCTGGCAATAAGTAGAGGTCTCCGTGTACTATCGCCTCCGAGTGTAAACATCCATTTTCTCTCAGGTGTGTGGAGTTGCAGGTGGCGCATGCATTTGTTAGGTCATAATGACCTGGAGGGTGACTCACAGTCACCCAGAAAAGGTATGAAGACCCTAAGAAATCCTACCTTGGGGTGAGAATTCTGTCACGGGGTGATAATTCTGTCACGGGGTGATTCCAAGGAGAGAGGGGTGGGGGCACCTCTCAGAGCCGCGTTCCAGAACGCCCCACGC